GCTATTACAGTACACATATTACTTACCATGTCAAAGACTTCAAACTAAATTTTACTGACAAAATAACTTGCATTCTGATGTTACACATCACACACCACTAGTTTATTCTACTTACCTATATAAAGTCCGTTATTTGTATTCAGTTGTTTAAGTTTGCCTGGAGAGGTGCCTGTTACAGTATAGCCATCTACTACCATTGTACCTATATTTCCTTCTCTATGTAAGTGCACGTTATGCCACTGACCATCAATAACAGTCTCATTACTAAGTATAATTCCTTCACCACTGCCAAGGTTGTAGCTGTATAAAAATCAAATATATGTTATTCTTCAATTAATATAATAAAAAATGAATAAATGAATAAAAAATAAGCATAAATGAATTACAACAAAAAGCCTCCAAATTCAACTAAATATGTTTAATTCTGATGGTGGTAATTTATACAACAATAATGACTTTCCCGCAGCATTATATTGGATTTGGAGAAGGGCCTATACACGATAATTTGTTTGGCCTCGCCTCGCACATTCAATAATGTGCTATGGGGGGGGGGGGGGATCATTATTGTTTCATGAAAAACAGCTACTTGAATAATGTTAACAAGCAGCCTCTCGGCTGAGATAGCTCCGCTGTTAGCAATGCACATTACAATTAAATCACTGAAGATATCATTAGAAAATGAACAATATATATATAAAAAGCAACGGGACAAATCTGAAAGAAGTCCACACGTGGTACGTATATATGTAATATAAAAGCAATCGGACTTGCGGTTTTCAACAAGAAGTCAAAAATATCACTTTTCACCAAAAATGACAAAAATAATCATCAAAATTAAATAATTGTAGATTTCGCAACAAAATTAACAAATCTGAAAGAGGTCCACATGTAGTACCTATATATGCATTATAAAAGCAATCGAACTTGCGGTTTTCAACAAGAAGTCGAAAATATCACTTTTTACCAAAAATGACAAAAATATTCACCAAAATTAGAGAATTAAAGATATCATCACAAAATGAACAAATCTGAGAGAGGTCCACATGTAGTACCTATATATGTAATATCAAAGCAATTGGACTTGTGGTTTTTAACAAGAAATCGAAAATATCACTTTTTACCAAAAATGACAAAAATATTCACCAAAATTAGAGAATTAAAGATATCATACAAAATAA